GAAATCCGTATTCAGGGCAGTATAGAGCAGAGCAAAGTAAAGTAGAGTTGAGTTCAATCCGTCTGCACATCCGTCCGTATGTTAGCCACACTTCGGCATTCAGCAGCTGCTGCTTTTGTAATAGCGAAAACGCAAATGGCTAAAAGAGTTTGTCTCGCTGCCGTCGCCGTCGCCGCCGCCGCCTGAGTGGGCTAACAACTGGCGGACGTGTTGCGCATGCGCCGCTGGGCATTTCAGTTGGGTTTTTGTTTTATAATTTATATGCCAAGCGCAGAGAGTGAAAATGTCATTGGCAGATGTCGCGGATATTAGCAAGACATGCCATGATCGTCATTATACACAGACAAAAAAAAAAACAACCGACATATGTACATGCTTTTGTAGTGCATGTTCGGGGGCCTAAACAAAAGGCCCGCAGCAATCCGTAGATGCTGTTGTTGGTCTAGAAGGGGGGAGGGAGGCTAGGCTTGTTGGGCTTTATTCGCGCTAAACAGTCGGCTACATTTTATGACTTGGCGGTGCGTGTTGAATTTTTTTCTTTTGCTGTGGTTCAGTGCGCACATGTTCAGGCCACAGTTGGTTGCTGTTGCTGGTAGCTGCATCTTTTGTTCTGTCCAGTGCATGACAACAGCAACAACAACAACAACAACTACTACAATAACTTGTTGCTGGTTGTACTCTAGTTATAATTATTATGACTCGACCGTTTAGCTCACAAGTTAATTACCAGCCTGGGCCACAACTTTCGACACATTTCAATGACTGTGGGTTGGGCAACAGCGACAGCAACACCAACAACAGCAACGACAACAGCAATATGTTTGCAGAGGCAGATGCTTATTCTGTTGCAATGCCCAAGTCATCTATTTTGGGTTGAGCCCAAAGCGAAAAACGCCATTAAATCGATTTCACATTAAAAAATATTGCACAAGCTGCTGCCACTTTGTCCAGAATTAATGGATCATAATTATTGGTGAGCAGTAGCAGCAGCGGCAGCAACAACAACATTAGAAGAGAAAATACCAATCGGTATGTTTAGCCACTCAGGCTGTTGGCGGCTGACAGAGGGAGAACTTTTCTTTTTTCCCCTTTTTGTTGTTGTTGCTGCCACTTTTTGTTTTTTGTTTTGTTTTGATATTTCACTGTAATTTTCCGATGCGCAGAAAGAGAAATTTATGGCATAGTTTGATGATGTTGTTGTTGTTGTTGATATTGCTTCTGTTGCGGCATGTTGTAAAAAAAAAAGCCTAAATACCATCAGGCCCAGTGTCAGGCATTTGAAGGCTGCAGCCTGGCCGACAAGCCAAGGCAATGGATGCTGGCCAGGCAGACGCATTTTATGAGCGATTTGTTCTGGACAAGACTTGCTTACCAGCAACGGCCACAGCAACAGCCGAACCAACGACAACAACAGCAACAGCACTAACAAGTGCAATTTCATGCCTAAAGAAGAAAGCTGCTGCAATGCACCACTGACGGCCATCTGTTTGTTGACTTGTCGACGTCATTTTGCGGCAAGTGAAAATGTGTGCTTACATGCCGCCAACAACGCCACAACATAGCTCGATCCGGTTTTCAGTCAGTTCGGGGCTCTGACTTCAGACTGAGACACTGAGATGTTTATGTTTTCAACAACCGCAACAACAGCAAAAACAACAAGCACAACATCGTTTCTTTTAGTTTGTTTTCATTTTTTTCGGCACCAGGTCGTCGCTCAATGTTGAGTCGCTGCAAGATTGTAGAAATATGAAAAAAAAAAAAATGAAAAGATAAACGTGATTTTCATGCGTCGCCATCGTCATCATAGTCGGCATATTTAAATACAAAATACTTTTACTATCAACCAAAACTAGTCTCTTGGCAGCCAGCACTCGTTATATTGCGCTAGTCAAAAATTATAGTTTGACGGCCACTGACACATGCCGCATGCCACAGGGTGCACGAATTGCATACGCATGCGCAAATATTTCGCTTAAGTAAATCGCGAACTTTCTGAAAAAATTGAAATATAGAATTAGTTATTGCTAAATATTATGCATGTATTTCGCCATCTTAATATAAGATCTATAATGTTCCAATTTTGAGAAGAGATAGCAAAATATACAATGTGTGCTAACTAACTCCTCACTTCAATGCTATGACTTAAAGTCAGATTTAAAATGGCCATGTTCGCAACTAACTGGGATTTTTAAAAGCGACAACCGGGAAAAATACTTGGTTGAAGAGACACACATCAATTTTAAAAAACCTGACTTAAAAAACTCACTAAAATGAAATCAATATATTTTAACATATAAAATATTTTCTTTAAATGTATTACAAAGAATCTTATTATAATAACATATATGTACGAGTATATTCTTTTTATACAAGTGTTCTTTATGTCACCATAGAACGGAATTATGTAGTGGGTGGGCACCGCTCTATGTTAATTTGTATTATTATTAACCCAAAGTCTGCTAATAAGCTGCATGAATAACGGTTTTATGTCTAAATGCTTGTATACTTTACATATTTATGTATTGCGCAACATAAAACAATTTATCAAACAAAAAACAACTTATAATTTGCATCACAGAAGCAGCCCCCAACTTAATACACTAAAAATATGCGCTAATTGTCATTCAGGCAGTCAGTCAACCATTTCTCTTGGCTTTTATTTTGGATGCGCTCGGGTCTTTTTTTCATTTGGAAATAAAAGAAATTCCAAATCGCATTATTATAAATACTTATACAATATGAAAAGGTGGCTAAATGAAAAACCTTAAAGCAATTTCAATTTGGCAATACATTTGGGAGCACAACCTCAGACCATATTTCATCGAATATATGATATCATATTGGATTTTTTTTTCTGCAGACTGGCGCTTGTAATAGACATTCTGTCGCTTTATATGTAAATCATATGCTAATATTGTATTTGGCCTCTTCTCTTGACACAACAACAAAAACATTAAAAATTGGCAACAAAAAGCATATTACTTAACCGCCAAAACGAACGGAAGTTATTAAGTAAAGCAAAGTTGCCTTCTCTCTCTCTCTCTCTCTCTTCCTCTTCTCCCCGATATCTCACATACTCTCCGTCTCCATCTGTTTCTTGTTCAATCGCTAGCTCGAAGAAAGTGAAGAAGCTACCTTAATGAAATGTATCTGACGTTTTAGACAAAGGCGCTTATGCAAATGTTGCAGCTATAGAGCGGCCAGCTAGACACAAGCGCCGACTAAATTCAGTTGCCACATGTGTGGAGCTGCTAACAGCTGTCGTGCCTGCCTCGTCGTCTCATTGTGATGTAAGCGCCCAAATAAATACGAAAAAAATTATTTTGCTCTTAATTTATGCAAATGCGCAGACTCGCAACCATTTTCTGCGCCAGCGCTGCTTTCTTCTTTCTTCTCTTCTTTCTTGCGTGCCGACTTGCTTTATCTATTTCACTATTTTTACCATTTTCTGCTAATATCGCAGCAACACCAAATACAATCATTCAGCGACCGTTAGTTCAACACCTATCCCAGTTTTGGAATTGGTGAGTAATAATGCAAAAATCACCCGCACCTTAGTTTGTGGCGCCACTCTACGTGTAGGTCCGTTGTCCAACACTCTTTGTGCCATTGTTTATGTGCGATAAGGAAACTGAAATAATTTGCCCAAAAATACATTGGCTTAGCACCTTTTTGAAAGTTGGTGTGTTAATATTATAATGTTGCTGCTGCTAATGCGAATGATTTAGTTGTTGTTATCGCCGTGCCGTGCGCGTCATACATGCTGCACACAAATCGCCCAAAATACAAAAAAAAAAAAAAAAAAAAAAAAAAAAAAACGCTTGACTGCGACTGGGCTGACGCTGGGACCGGGGCGTCTGAAACATAAAACTTTTTATAATTGCATTGTAAACATTTCACTTTCGTTTTTGTCGCGCTTGGAAATCTCCTCAAAATTGTCGTCGCTTCCATCTCCACGGCGTGCGCAGAATAATTTCCAGTTCCGATCCGCACTTTCGCTATGTGGGTGATGTCGACGGCGGGTTGACGGGTCAGGCTATTAAGCTCACGTTTCTCAGATTCAGTTAAAATCTTTAAGTTTATATTAGCAATATTTTGTACTTTCTTATTTTTTATATTTCAGTCAAACATACTTCAGCTATCTCAAAATGTTATAAAAACTTAAAAAAAGCGTTAAAAAAGTCAAAAAAATTTAAAACAACCACGTTTAGTTGCAATTTAAAATAAGCCATTCCAATGAACAATTATCTAAATAGTCTACACTCAATCTTAAATTTGGCCAATAGTTTCAAACCCGTCGGTAAAAACAACGAATGGCAACTGGCCCTACTTTAGAAAAAAATATATTTCGTATTAAAAGTATTAAGTATTAATATATAGATGGGATAAACCTAGAGTTTAGATCGATTTTCAAAAAGTCTACAAATAATTTTTTTCTTAGTTTTGCGATTGCAACCAATAACGTAACCGTCTTCATCCTTACTGTCTTTATTAAATATGTACATATATGTATGTACATAATATTTTAATCTTGAAGCCACATCGCGGTTCATTGACGTGCAGCTACAAAGGACTCAATTAGTTGGCCAGGCAATGTATCGAATCAGGTTATAATCTTAAATATGCACATGTAGCATACAAACATGTGTATATTGCAAGAGTAAAGCTCGGATTTGCATATTTGGGCGCACTTTGATTGGTTGGGCTAAGATTTAAAGAAAAAGGGTGAGGGAGGGAAGCTGGAGGGGCGCTTTACTGAAGCTTTATTGAAGTCGTGTCTGCATGTCTTAAAGCCGTGATCTGCTGTCGCCGATGACCTGCAAGTTTTGCGCTGACATTTGCGGTTTGGCGACAAACAAGCCACATGCACGAAACCGAAATGACAGTTGGCGCCAAATGGAGGAGGCGTGCCGATTTGCGTTTTGAATAAATAGATTAAAATTAAGATTAGGCATTGGCTAAAAAATTCATTTTGCGAATTTTATAAATCTTACTTACAGATCTAACTCCAAGGCATCGTATTTGCCCAGACAAAGCCTCGAGAAGCTCAACAACACGGATCCAGATCATGGCATATATAAGCTAACACTCACTTCAAATGAGGATCTGGTGGCACACAACAAGCCCAGCTATGAGCTCCTACCCAGTGTGGGGGGTGGTGGCAAGTTGCCAAATAATTTGCCGGATGTTCTGCCACTTGGAGTGAAGCTGCAACAGCAGCCAAAGCCATTGCCCGGACAAGCCGGCTCACCCAATGGACTGGTCAACGAAGTGCCGCTACGCTACGGTTCCAACAACAACCTCGCAACGAACTCGCCCACTAATGCCACGCCCTACACGATGATCTACACAACAGCAGCCGCATCGGCTTCCCAGCATCAGAGGTACTCGTCGCCGGCACTAAGCGACTACAAGAGAAAGACGCCATTTGGCCATCTCCAGCACTACACACGATCTCAGTCGTATGACTTGAACCAGTCGGCGGGAATCCCAAACAACAACCCCACTCAGTTCATGTCCCAGTCACATGTTGATCTTAAGCAAACCGCCTATGACCTCGAGACCACGCTGGAGGAGGTGCTGCCCGTTGTATCGGAAACACCACCACGTCTCTCGCCCGCCCACTCCGACTGCAGTCTCAGTAGCGGCGGCGGTGGCGGAGGCAGTTCGCTAGACAGCTCTCCAGCTAGTGTTGAGCCACATATTTTCCGTGCTGAGCTGATCAGCACAACACTGAGCACGCCACCTAAGCCGACGATGAACCGCCAGGAATCCTTGCGTGAGAACATTGAAAAGATTACACAGCTGCAGTCAAAACTAATGTCGGCCCACCTATGTGACTCTGGCATACTCGGAGGCAGTTATACATCTGCGAAACAAGCTAATCCCACCCCTCTGCAACCTTCCACAGTGGAACATATGGAGAAATGCCTCAAAGACGAATCCGCCGTTTCCCCTGGTGAATTCTGTGAAGGTGCCGAGCCGAGCAACAACAAAAATGAAGAGCTCAGCCCTCCTGTTACGCCCCTTTTGCAAATGGATGCATCAACCGATGGTCTGAAACTGGTGCAACGCAGCGAGATTGTATTGCGTGTCAATCCCCCCAGCACTTGCGAAATTGCCTGCCAGACGGACGAGCTACCGGACTTTGATCTCGGACGTCTATCACTGCACAACAACGTCCGCGACGAGCAGCAAACGCGCACCACCTTGCAGCCCCGTCAGCGTCAAACCATCGAAGTCGACTACGATAATTTGGCCAATGAGCTGCTACAGCTGCTCGCGCCCAACGACAAGCTCATCGAAATACTTACACCAAAAATTTACAAGCCCACCACAGAGTACGTCAGCAATCTGTATAATCCAAATGTTCCGCTCCGACCTACGAAACGGGATGTGGGCACCTCAACTCTGATGCGCATGAAGACATCGACAACGTCGCCAACAACAGCGATGTCAGAAAGCAAACTTATTACAGTGGAGCTACAATTGACGGACTTAGATAGCGTGTTGCTGAATGGCGCCTGTGACCCCGAATGCACGAATTTAATCAAACAGAAACTGGTAAGTACTACTTACCCTGTGTATTAGGGGTTTTAATTATACTTGTATTTATGTTTCTCGCCCGCACAGGATGAGCTCATAAAGCAATTGAACCAAAAAATTGCCGCCCTAAAGCGTGAGAAACAAACCATATCCGAGGAATGTGGCGTCAATGAAAAGGTGGGCACAGATCTGCTGGCCAAACTCACGGAAAAGGTACGTCCCAGCGAAGCCTCCAAGTTCCGCACCTACATCGATGATGTGGGCCACATAACCAGTCTATTGCTGTCGCTATCAGAGCGTCTGGCTCAAACGGAGTGCAACTTAGAGTCGCGTGCCGCATCGGGATACAGCAGTGAACAAGAAAAGGTTAGTTTGGAGCATCATTATTTAAAGCATCACTACATATTCCAATTCCTATGGTATTCTTGCAGATTACACTGGAAGCGAAACGTGATCTTCTCTACGAGCAGCTCGAGGAGGCCAAGCGTTTGAAGGCTGATATCGATCGACGTGGCAGCAGCATCGCAACCCTCTTTGGCAAACATCTCAGCGCCGATGAGTGTGCCGACTACGATTACTTTATCAACATGAAGGCCAAACTTATTGCCGACGCCCGCGACCTGGCCGATAAGATCAAATGCAGTGAAGAGCAGCTGGGCGCGCTCAGAGACGCGCTCGTCCAAAGCGATTGCTAGTCTGGGTGCCCGAACACCGTTAAATCCGCTGAATTTTCCGTGCTGTCAACTTTAAGTTGAGAGCTGTGCGTGAGAATTGGCGATTGTCTGTTCTGGACATTAGTCTGCATTTCATTCGCTCCAGATTCGGCCCCAGATGCGCTGATTACTTTCGAAATCTGTAAGCACGTGGAGCGTGTCACTCTATTGGCGACGGCTTAGGTGTGTAGTAAACCAATCGATGTGCTTGAATACAACCACTTAATGTATAATAAAAATGTATGTTCATTTGTGATTTTCAACTAGCTTGTAGGCAAACCTATGTATCAACATATACTAGTATCTGTAAGCATTTTTATATAATTGTCAAAGCAAAGATAAATATATCCATAAATAAATATAAAACTATTCTGAATAAATGTTGTGCCTCTTGGGTATACTTGTATGTGAGTAAGTATGTACATATGTAAAACAAAAATTAAAAACTCATAATTCAGGAACTTTGTGCAAATTCTTTCAACAATGAATTATTTTTTTAGTGAACAGCTAAACGTTCAGATTAATAATCAATATTAAAGTCGCCACAATTCTCTTTTAGTAATAAAACAAAATATTTAACATTCACGCATTTGGGTTTATAGACTTTTCAAAACTATGTATTTGAACTATGTATTTGTAAACATATAATAATATTGTATATTAATTTCATTATAAGAAACTTTCTTCTTCATATTACGATTTTTAGTGTATGATTACACAGTAGAGTCGAAGTACAAATAAAAATATTTCTGAAGTAAGAGAAGACTCTTTTAGTTTTTATGGTACATAGGCAATCGTACTTATCCTCTACATATAGTTTTATATAAGATTCCAATCTATAGTTTTTAAAAATCTTAATCTTAATCATAGAAAAGAAACGTTAAATAAGATATCTAAAAAAAAGGGAGAACTGTTTTAGGTTTCCTTATTGTGTTTTCGTCACTAAATTTAAATGTTCGTTAAACAAACAGTGCTGGTGAACGTTGCGAGAAACAAAACAGCTGTTGTTGTTGCACTAATCCAGCCCTAGTCAAGCAGCTGATAAGCCTACACAAAAAGGTAGTTACACAAACTAGTTATACTCGTAGCCTGATTTACACGTTGCACTTTTCCTTGGCACAGAAAGTTAGAAACAAAACAAAGCCAATAATATTTATGTGCAATTCATTTGCTATGTTTAAGAGCAAATTTTTGTTCCGCTGGATTCGAAACTACCTACAAAAAACAAACAACAACGCTTTGGCGTCTCCCAACAACAACAGCTACACAGTAGGCAGTGTACGAAATAAACATTTTTCTGCGCCACAAGGCTTGGAGCGCAGTTGGCGTGGACTAAATCCTGAAAAAGAGTAAGAAGCTCCTTAATTAATAAAATTCTTAGCCCAAAACATTTTTTATTGTAGATCAATACCAAAAGCAGCAATTAAATATCGAGGCATGGCCAACGAAACGAAAGCAGAACCACCAAAGCATACAAACAGATTGGCAGCATCCAAGTCTCCGTATTTGTTGCAACATGCACACAATCCAGTGGACTGGTGAGTATGGTTGAGTGCTGGCGGCTTGGCTACAGAACATAAACGAAACCACACAGGTATCCATGGGACGAGGAAGCATTCGAGCGGGCTCGTAACGAGAACAAATTGATATTTCTCTCAGTGGGATACTCCACATGCCATTGGTGTCATGTCATGGAGCACGAGTCGTTCGAGAACGGAGACATTGCAGCTATAATGAACAAACACTTTGTCAATATCAAGGTGGATCGAGAGGAGCGGCCAGACGTCGATAAAGTTTACATGCAGTTCCTACTCATGTCTAAAGGCAGTGGTGGCTGGCCCATGAGTGTTTGGCTCACACCAGAGTTGGTGCCTCTGGCGGCTGGTACCTACTTTCCGCCCACGGCACGGTAATTTATAGACAATTGTTAAGTAGATATTTAACAAGATTTATTGATAATTTAATTCACAGTTATGGCATGCCCTCGTTTTCCATGGTGTTGCAGTCCATCGCAAGGAAGTGGCAAACAGATCGTGAATCGCTGATGGAGGCGGGCTCGACACTGCTCTCAGCCATGCAATCGAATCAAAATGCATCAGCTGATGGCGATTCAGAATTCCAGCCGGGTAGTGCGGATGCAAAGCTGGCAGAGGCCATTACTGTACATAAGCAACGTTTTGATGAAGAGAACGGTGGCTTTGGAGTTCATCCGAAATTTCCGGAGGTGCCACGCTTGAACTCTCTTTTCCATGCGTACCTTGTGACCAAGGATGTTGACGTGCTGGACATGGTCCTACAAACGTTGGATCACATCGGACGTGGAGGAATAAACGATCATGTGTTTGGTGGCTTCGCCCGCTATGCTGTGGACAGAAACTGGCATGTGCCGCATTTCGAAAAAATGCTGTATGATCAGGGCCAGCTGATGGCAGCATATGCCAACGCCTATAAACTGACTCGAAGTGATCAGTTTCTGGGATATGCAGACAAGATCTATCAATATATGATAAAGGATCTGCGACATCCGGCGGGTGGTTTCTATGCCGGCGAAGATGCCGACTCGCTACCCACACATGAGGATTCAGTGAAAGTGGAAGGAGCTTTTTATGCCTGGTGCTGGGAAGAGGTCGAGAACGCTTTTAAAGAGCAATCAGGGCGATTTTTAAATATTGCAGCGGATCGGGCTTTCGAAATCTACGCATTCCACTACGCAATGAAACCAAAGGGAAATGTACCGCCCTCCAGCGACCCGCATGGCCATTTGATGAACAAAAATGTTCTTATTGTGCGTGGCTCCGAAGAGGATTCCTGTGCCAATTTTGACTTGGAGCTTTCCCAGCTGCAGCTTGTATTGAAAGCAGGCAATGAAATACTCTATGAGTTGCGGCAGAAACGTCCGCGTCCACATTTGGACACCAAAATCATATGCGCCTGGAATGGACTGGCGCTGTCGGGTCTAGCTAAATTGTCAAATTGTGGCACTGCAAAGCGTGCAGAGTACATGGAGACAGCCAAGGCTTTAGTAGAATTTATTCGGAAGCATCATTATGATGCAGACCGCCGGGTGCTTCTTCGCTCCTGCTATGGTACGGGCACTGACAATACGGAATTAGAACAGAATGAGTAAGTGTGGGGACAGTTGAAGTTACTTTGAATTTTTAGTAATAATTAATGCCTCCATTTCAGCACACGCATCGATGGATTTCTCGATGATTATGCCTTTCTGATCAAAGGCCTATTGGACTACTACAAAGCTTCGTTAGACGGCAGTGTTTTGCGTTGGGCCAAGGAGCTGCAGGATATACAGAATAAGCTGTTTTGGGATGAACTACATGGCGCCTATTTCTTCTCCCAGGAGGGTACGCACAATGTTATTGTGCGTCTTAAAGAAGGTATGGGTATAGATTGAAATGAGGATGCTCTAATTATTAAAAATAAATATTATACTTAATTTCAGACCATGACGGTGCCGAACCCTGTGGCAATAGCGTAGCTGCACGCAATCTCGTATTGCTGGCGCATTATTACGACCATGACGATTATCTGGAGAGGGCCACAAAGTTGCTCAACTTTTTTGCGGATGTTTCGCCCTTTGGACACGCACTTCCGGAGATGTTGTCGGCGTTACTGTTGCGAGAACACGGACTCGATTTAGTGGCGGTGGTTGGGCCGGATTCTTCGGATACCGAACGTTTTGTGGAAATAGTTCGAAAATTTTATATACCTGGCATGATTATTCTGCACGTTGATCCGCAGCATCCCGACGATGCTTGCAACCAGCGTGTGCAGCAAAAATTTAAGATGGTTAATGGCAAGACAACAGTATATATTTGCCATGATCGAGTATGTCGAATGCCGGTAACAGATCCGGAGCAACTAGAGGAGAATCTAATGGCGAACTTTTTCAAAGAGCGCCTATAAATCAAGAAATTACTCGAACTTATTACTAATTGTCATAGTTATTTAATGTTATTATTCGTGTTGTTGATAAATTTTGACTTCTAAAGTGAAATTCTGTTCTTGGAACTTGTTAGTAGCTAGCATTAAGTCCATAGCTTGATGATCCAATAGCGATGCATGCGCATTATATTACATTTATGTATTTTATGCTCTATAATCTTAAATATATATTTTAAAAGCAGTCTTTATGCTGTAGGTAAAGACTTCACTGTTTTTCCCTGTTTTCCAGTTTAAAAAAAGCTGCAGAATTCTTCACAAATACAACACATTTTGTGCATTTATTGGAATCGTTTGTCTGGAGCACCGAACGGATTGCGACAACAACGAAATACTTGGCGGCTGATTACAACTTAAGAGTTATTGTCGCCGATTCGTTCAAATGCCCCGCACACGCGTAAAAACTAAGCTAAACTAAATGCCCGCGCTCAGCCGCATCCGATCCGATCCAAATATAGTCGCCATATTTGAATCGAAACGCCTTGGTCATTCGCGTAAAAGAACTAAATGTATGGAGAGAACAGTTCGGTAATTGGTAATCATAATCGTAATAATAGTAGTAGCAATAAAAATAATTTAGTTGAAATTCACATTCATCACATTGGTTTGCACTTAGCGGCGAACCATCTGCCACCTGTCCATGCCTGCCTGCAATTGCGGTGGTGCTGCTCGCTGCTCAGGTATCTGCATCGTTGAAACTCATGGCTGCATCAAAGCTGTCCACAATAGTTTCCATGCGCTCATGGTGCTCGAATCGGGCTAGTTTGCGCTCTAAGCGCGAGCACGAGTTACGACGCGAGTGCCTTGTTCGTTTGAAGAAGCGAAAACGTGTGTCTTCCTCCTCCTCGTCGTATTCGGGCGCCGAAACCGAATCCTCGTCCGTTTCGCGCAGGAATTCCTTAGGATCGCGGTGGATTTTGAAGATTTTAGTCGCCCCCTGTAGCTTGGATATGGTGCGCGAGGCATTTAATATGCCGCGATCCGCGAGCTGCTTATGTGGGCGACTCCTAACACTGTGGCCGGCTGCCAGACGATTGGTTATGGAGACCACGTTGAAGAGCTTCGACAACTCCGAATCTATGCAGCGCGATTCCCTACGCAGGTTCTTACCATTTTTCACATAGATAAAATGGTTGATTTGATTATCGGCCACCAAGCTAGCGGTGGGCGGGCTACCGCTGCCGTTGGCCGTAAGCAGAGTAGGCGTGGAGGGCGGCGCTGGTGGGGGCGGGGTAACGACGTGCGGCATTGTGTAGCACCGTTGTCGCCCTTCATACAAGTTAGCAACATTATATCGGCTAAGCCGCCATGGCTCCAACTCGATTTCTTCGTGGTCTGAACTTGGCATATCCATAGCCTGCGGCGGCGGACACGAAAGCCGAGACCAGAAAGCGTGTGTATAAATTGTGGGTACATCGTGGGTGTGCGTGTATGTGTGTGTATTATAGTGTGCATGGGAGTTGGGATAGACGGGCAAGAAAATGGGCGTTGCAAAAATAATATCAGTTAAATATGAAATAACCGCAACAATTTGTGGATTGTGTTTACCTGCAGCAACAAGCCTTCGACCTCAGAGTATTGGCGATCTGTCAGACGATGTAGATGATCCATTTTTGCTAAACAATAACAAAAATACGTCTCCAGTTTGCCATTCACTGCAGGTGTTTTTATTTTTCCTGTCAATCCGTGCGGTCAATCAGTGCTGCAAAACGTTTATTTTCACGTTTAATCTTTTCAAGCGTTGCCAACCTTTTTCGTCGGTGTGGCAGCCTCAACAGTTCACGGTTTGCCATACGAATTTTTCGCAGTAACTATTGCCTTATTGGCTTAACGTAATAAAATGACCAGTTAAATTGCTGTAAGTTTAAGTTTTAATATCAGAGATCAAAAATTGATCTAGTACGCCGAATGCTTTCCATCTGTTCATATGTATGTATAAAAAAAATGATAATTAGTCAATATTTACAAATTCTGTAACTGTAACTTTTATACATTTCATTTGGTCTCCTTTAATGTGTTATAATAAAAATACATATGTTTAGCTTTGTTATATTTTATAGCTCTGTCTGCATATACATATGTAAACACATTTACATCATATGATTTCAAACTCACAGCCTTTTTTTCTGATTTAAGAACATAAATAAACACTGTAGTAAATGTACACAGCTCGCTGTTGCCTGAGTTGTTTTGTTTATTGATTTCCATCATTGACAACCGGTTTGGATTAATTTGATTCTGCTCTGAAACAGTGTATGTGTTTTTATAAAATGTTCATTTATAAAACATTCATTTAACATTAAAAATAAAAGACAATTTGCTTCAGTTTTGAACTAGGGTTTGTATTTGGTACTTGTATTGTTGTATTTTGTATTAATTTTTGTTTTCAACCGCAACTTTCTGTGGTTTCGATAGGCCCCCACTATTTCCCGATTGCATACACTAAAACGCATAAGCAGGCTAGTGGGAAAAGCGGGCTGAATTTGTATCAAGGCTCGAGGCTGGTTCTCCACATTCCAGCACCATGTACAAAGTCAGCATCAATCAAACTCATGGATAACATTACGCGCCTATGGATTCCACACAGAAAGTTGAGTTTATAGTTGGGGCCCAAGGCAGTCGCCGTTCGCTGGAGGGGCGATGAAGCGACGAACCTTGGGCCGCGGGTGTGTTTGTGATAAATAATGGTGCCTAAAGCTTGCAAAGCAGAAGGGCATAACGCCCATACTGGCAATTAGGCGCGCCAATTGCTCGAATGGCGACAACATAGCCATCGTAGAGCAACATATGTTGTGTTTGTTTGACAAAAAGTCAAAAAAGTTGGTTTTTTCAAATTTCCGAAGAAATTTGTTTAGCCCAGCACCTCCGCGCAGTTCCTATTGTGCAAGTCGCACACGCAAAGCAGCACTTCAAATTATATTTAGCAAGCGGCGCTTCACCAAAGCCAGCACTGAAAGCACCCACAAGAGGTGTCCAACGCTCAGCAAAGGTGTTGCCTGACAAGCTGCACACAACTTGGAGCCCAGCCTTATGTTTGCGACGCACAAAAGGATCAGCACGTAAACACCGAGCGGGGGGGTTTTTTTCGCCTTGGCAAAGGACCCGCATGGAATGGCAAACACATGCGCAAACATAAGCGACAAATCAAAGCATTGTCCTTAGGTCGGGACCAGAGAAGCAGTGCTTTAACTTGACCGCCATACGTACACGCTGCATCTGCCCATACAGGCACAAGGCTAAGACAAGATTTTGAACGATACAGGGACATGAACAACGCCCTCGTACTCAACACCCTGGCCAAAAAGTGCTGCTCTCAATGCAGGGCAGCAGAGCCGCTGTGCCGGCCATACGTACTTTCCCATGCAACCCAAAGGAATTGCACAAAATTGTAACGCCTGGCCGACGCCACTGCTTGCAGCAGCGCACTAGATCAGTCACTTGGCTTTTGTGGCGAAATGTGTGCGTTGGCGTCGCCCATGTCTTGTACCGCTCGAGTGTCAATGGTAAACTCTAAGTTTAAGAGTTTGCAAAAAGGACGAGTATCTTTGAATAAGGTTTCAAATTTTGTGAAATGGCGTTCGTAGCCAAATTGTTAGCCGCATGTGCAGCGTGACTGAAAATTGCAATGATAAGCCACAAAAACCTGTGGCTTGAAACACGCACAAAGCCACCCAAAGCAACAAGTTGAAAGGGCCTCCAAGTGCATGCAACCAGCACAACAGGATGATGCGGCTATCGAAAATGAGTCAGTCTTGCTCTGCTTGCCGGCGCCTCACTTAGTGAGCAAATGAGAAATGAGAACTTAACTAAAAGCTTTGAAAGCTTTATGCTGCGGTTGCTGGTGTTGATATTGTTGCTCTCTTGTCGTCGATGTTCCCGTTTCTGTTGATGTTGCTGTTGTAAATAGCGTCGTTCTCACCAATATGATGGCCAGCGCGGCGGAGTAAGCTGTTTTACTAATGTGGTTGTTGTTATTTGGCATGGACATTGAATAAGTTCATTGTGCGCCCTGCGCACTTTGAAGTTGCTGGTGTTGTTGCTCATGCCGGAAAGTGTTGTGTGTTGTTTGTGCTTTTTATTCTGCGATATCGGCGGACTGCTTACGCTTCCGACACTGCTCAAATGTGTGGCCACGGAAATTACAGTAGGTGCAGCGTTTCGTGCCTTTGGCGCCACGCAACGGACCTGTGGCGGCTGCCTCATCCTCCTGATTATTATGCTCTATAATGCGACCCTGTTCGAGCAGACTGCGGAAGGTTTTGATGTCTTGGCGGGGAATTTGCTTGCGGTATTTTATGTTCAGCAGGCCATATAAAAAGTCCAGCTCGGTCTCCTCGTCGTGACGATTCTCGGGCAGTTGAGCGAGCAGCGCACGTTTTTGCACCACAAACGTGTCAATGGCAACATTGTCCTCCTGTTTCTTCTCAAAGAACTCCATATAGACCTGGTAGGCGGGTTTTGCGGGCGAAAAATTCTCACGTATGAGAGCAATAGCATCATTCCACGTTTTGGCCTCTTTCCGAACACCCTGCCACCAGGTCGACGCGATGCCATAGAGCAGTAGTGGCAGTCCTTTCAGTGCGCTCTCGTCGGATATGTCTTCCACCTCCTTGTAGGTGACAATACTTGTGATGAACTCCTCGACCTGATCGTGTTCACGCGCTCCCCCAAACCGTGTCGTGCACGCACTGAAGTTACCCTTTGATTTGGTAGCCTCGATTGTGCCGGCAGCAGCATTTCCGGCAGCACTCACGGCGGTCGCACGAACTGCGTCGATGAGCTCACGGAGCTGTTCATTCGTCATTTGAATGGTTTGTGGCATATTTGTTTAATCTGGTATCGTCGTTTGGACTTGGAATAAATAGCAAACACGTAGTATATAAATGTTTTTGCTTTTATTGCAATTTGTGCTTGGACAGCTTGCAAAGCCAATACGTTTGGCGAATGTAGCTGTTTTCACAATTGCTGGTCGTAGAAGACTAATTTGTCGCTCAGCCGCCAGTAGTTTTTATACCAAGCCGTTGTGAAATTCAAATTCGAAAAAGCTTTCGGTTATCTGAGCGTCATGGCGGAGAGTAAAAGTAGCATGGGCGTACAATTTGTTGGTGAGTCATAAGTAGAAAAAACAAAACAAAAAATATATTCATTTGTAGATTAATAAATAATATATTTAAATTGATTATGGGTATATATGTTAGTACAAGTATGTTGCATGTTTATTATGTAGAAAAACCCCGTATGTTTTACTAAAGTATTTAAGTACAGCCTTAAGCGGACACTCCCCTTGGGCGGACAAAAATTGGCCGACCGTGAGTGTCCGGTCAAGAGAGTTTTCACTGTACCCTAGAAAAAATTATTTTCTTGATTGTTTCTTGTTCTCCGAATAAATTGAATTTTTATGTTTTAAATTGTTTTAGATTTGATATTATCTAGTTTCTTAGAACAAGTGGCCAATTTTGCAATAACTTTTTTCTGTTTTAAGTTTTCTTAGCGGAACTTGATATGTGGCGGTTTTATTTAAATTTAATCAAGCCATTTTAACTGCCACAAGAACGGTAAGTTTTGAATATAATAGTGTAAAATTCTTTCTATTGAAGAGTTGAGCCCGCTCGACTCTAGCATTCCTTTCTTATTTAAAAAGCAAATCATGCAATAATAATATCAATATCCGGCCTTTCGAACTTAAAAGCTTTTCTGTTCTCAGAGCACATTTTTTTAACAAATGTACGTATGAATATTTCTTTATATTTCACCATCAGCGAAAAAGCTGACCTGGCAGAGCAGTTGTTAGTTGCTGCTCAGTTGGAAGCGAACGGCAAAGGGAGATTGCATGCGTATGCATGTACGGACATACATATATTAGATTGTACCAGGCACTATTTTGTTTATTTGCTTTGAAGTAAGACTCAATTTTGTTTATTGAGTTGAGAAATCTTTTTCCGCGGGACTATAAACCAAATGGCTCAGCTATCGGAGGAGCAGTTTCGCATACTCATCGAAACTATACGTGCTCTCGCCCCTCCGAAACCAGAAGAGCCGCAATCGAAGGGTAGCTTTAGCAACTGTACGGTGCGGTTCAGTGGTCAACGAGACAATGACGCAGTTGATGAGTTTATTACAGCAATTGAAACGTACAAGGATGTCGAAGGAATCAGCGATCGCGACGCGCTTAAAGGCATCTCATTACTGTTTAATAATATCGCGATTACCTGGTGGAAAGGTGTGAGACGAGAGGCAAAGACATGGCAGGATGCGTTAACGCTATTACGCGATCATTTTTCGCCTACAAAGCCATCTTATCAAATATATATGGAGATTTTTGAAACAAAACAGTCAAACCACGAAGTCATCGATGCATTTGTTTGCAACAAAAGGGCGCTACTGGCCAAATTGCCAGATGGCCGGCATGACGAGGAAACTGAACTGGATTTTGTTTACGGCCTGATGTTGTCCAAGTATAGAGACCATATACCTCGCCATGAAATCAAAACTTTTCGGGAACTGCTGGAACGCGGTCGCAGCTTGGAACGCACAAGACACTAATTCAATTGTTTATAATTATGTAAACTTTGTAAGTTAGATTATAAAATATGTAAATATACAAATATATGTATAAAAGTAAAGTTTATTGTACAGTATGTATGTATATGTGAACTGTGTATGTTAGTTTATAAAAAATGTAAATATATAAGTGTAAATTAAATGAAAAGTATGGTACAATTTAGAGAAGCTTTCAATACCGATTATGTTCTTTATTATACAAAGGAATCAATACCAAATTAAATCATAAGTATAATGTGTATTAATTAAATTCAACGCTTAAAAGAACGATTAATTTAAGGCGTAGTTTATTATTGATACCGAATGTTGGTACGGTTTGTATGAATAAAACGGAGCAAAATTTATAAATTATTTTTCAGGTTTCTACTAATTTAAAACAGTTCGCGCTGGCCCTGCCACCTTACATTGCAGCAGGCCTCATAAAGCGCTGCCAGACAACGCATTAGATATGTATAAAAACAGGTGGGCAGGGCTGTCAGCTCGTGGACGTTTTTCATCCAGGTGCGTTTTTTAGTTAGTCAGTGGAAATTGCGGAGAATTGTGCGTTCTATGTCGATTGCACGCTTCGTACAATGCCTCCTAACTCAATTTAAGGGCCACCATGTTAAGGGAAACATGAAAAAATACAGTTAAACTACAGTAAAGCATTCTATTGCAATTCTGGTGTACCCCGTCTGATAAAGCCATGACAATTAATTTCGTGTTTTCAGACTGCACGCCGTGATTTGTCTTGAGAACAGTCGAAACGCTGCCGGCTGCAAGCGAACACGATGACCACGAGTAGCGAGGATGTGCTGCTGCAGATGGGCGAGGTGCGGTACAAGAAGGGCGATGGGACGCTGTATGTAATGAATGAGCGTCTAGCATGGATGGCAGAGCACCGGGATACAGTGACGGTTTCTCATCGCTATGCGGATATTAAGAGTACGCTTTATCACGTTATAAACGAGTATTATGTATGCAATGATTAAAGGTTTCCCTTCGTGTCGTTTTTCGTGCAGCCCAAAAAATTTCGCCCGAGGGCAAACCGAAGGTGCAGTTGCAGGTGGTACTACATGACGGAAACACTTCAACGTTTCATTTCGTAAATCGCAACGGCCAGAAGGCCATGGTGGCCGACCGCGACAAAGTCAAAGAACTCTTGCAGAAGCTACTGCCAAGCTTTAAGCGCAAGGTGGACAAGGATCTAGAGGATAAGAACCGCATATTAATGGAGAATCCAAACTTGCTACAATTGTACAAGGACTTGGTCATTACAAAAGTTCTCACCAGCGACGAGTTCTGGGCCACCCACGCCAAAGACCACGCACTCAAGAAGGTCGGCAAGAATCAGGAAATCGGTAAGTTTTGACGTCAATTTCAATTCGAAGCGATATAATCAGTCTATGCGTGCGTGTGTAGGTGTTTCTGGCGCGTTTTTAGCCGACATCAAACCGCAAACGGATGGCTGCAATGGCTTAAAATATAATTTAACTTCTGATGTCATACACTGCATTTTCAAAACATATCCCGCCGTTAAGCGCAAGCACTTCGAGAATGTACCATCAAAAATGACCGAAGCGGAATTTTGGACAAAGTTTTTCCAGTCGCATTATTTTCATCGCGACCGTCTCACCGCTGGTACCAAAGACATCTTCACTGAGTGTGGCAAGATTGATGATCAGGCTTTGAAGGCCGCCGTGCAGCAGGGCGCTGGCGATCCGCTGCTCGATTTGAAGAATTTCGAAGATGTTCCGCTGGAGGAAGGCTTTGGAAGCGTAGCCGGCGATCGCAATGTTGTTAATAGCGGCAACATTGTCCACCAAAACATGATTAAGCGATTTAATCAGCATTCCATTATGGTGCTGAAAACTTGCGCCAACGTTAACAATGCGTTGCCCTCAATGAGCAATGGCACAAATATTGCCAATGGACCTGTTCCGCAATCAGCTTACACAAATGGCATCAACGGCAAGGGCTCCAAGCACTCGTCAGAAAGCCTCCCAAAAAGCAAAGATGAGCCGCCAACAAAGAAACAACGACTAATCGAAAAAATTCATTTCGAGGACTTAGGGGATCCTCTATTAGATCCTGATGAAAACACAACTGATGGTCCCAATAAAACCAAACAAGTCGAATTGGCTAAGGTCGAGCGATACCTAAATGGTCCCATACAAAACCAAATGTACGATAGCCATAATGACGTGCTCAGTTTGGACGAAGTTCAATACAAGCTGGTCCGCAACTCGGAGTCCTGGTTAGATCGTAGCGCGCAACGTGAAGTAATTAGTTCCAAGTCCGCAGTCAACGCCCTGGGCGAACTGAGTCCGGGTGGCTCTCTAATGCGAGGCTTTCAGGAACAATCTGCCGGACGTAAGTTTTGAAAGCATAATGACAGCTTTTCTAAAACGAGTACACTGCTTGTTTATCCACAGAGCTGGTGCCACGAGATTTTCAACGTGATTTGCGTCATTTATACCTCTCCTTATCGGAGCTTTTGAAACATTTCTGGAACTGTTTTCCACCGACCACAGAAGAACTGGAGGCGAAACTGCAGCGTATGCACGAAACTTTGCAGCGTTTCAAAATGGCCAAATTAGTGCCTTTTGAGGTATGTGCACCCATATTCTTCTTTTGTAATTCGCGTAATGTGGTGAATTGTTTTCATAGAATCGTGCCATGCACGAGCTCTCGCCATTACGTTCATCATTGACTCAACACATGAACTTGCTGCTGCGAACCGCCAACTCCAAATATGCCACATGGAAGGAACGAAAGCTGCGTAACAATAGATAACATACGCCTTACGAGAACGAGCGGCAGCAGCAGCCATTGCACACAACGCGCTCCTCACAACTGGAGTTGGATATATTTTAATTGTCATCCCCGTTTGTGTACGAGTGGGTGTGCAGCACTACACCTCATGAAACATTTTGTGTACTACTCATAAGCATCTAGTATTACTATTAAGGTCTGCGCTGAATGACACGCATTGGAATAAAATAATATTTACAAGTTTTAACACTTTGTGTTGAAGTCCAGTTCAAACTGGAATGTATCGGATATTGTAGAGAGTAATGTTTAATTAGCAGTAGGTTTTGTATAAAAGACACGTCTAAGACAGAACTCGTCTTAGTCGGTTTGAAAACTCACTCTTTTGTGGTTTAGTTTCAAATTAAACGAACTGAAAAACTCGTTAGGTAACTAAATTCTTAAATGTATGTATGTAAATTGAATCTCTTTAGGCCAATGTGATGGTATTCTACATTCATTTGTCTGGAATACTTCACAAGCCACAGCTACCATTTAAAGCAAATACTCTTCTCAATGTATAAGCTGCATCAAACCGATTTTCTGACACACATATTAAAAATGTTCTAATTAAAAGATTCTTCTCTGCGCTTTACACACCTTTCTTAGTTATATTTGCCGCCGTGTTCGACAGTTGTATGTGGATTGTGAATAAATTAAGAAGAGATCTCGGGCGCATAGTCAAAATTTTAATTTCATTTCTAATTCAAAAAGGAAAACAGCATGTGTCGCCTTTACAAATATTTATATTTTAATATTTATATTTTTAACATCTGTTGGCATGTTGGCTTTTGTGCGCTGCTATATCCAACAAATTCAGAATATGGTGTAGGATTAGATCGATTCGAAAGTAATACTTTTTATATTAATAGCAATTGATATCCACAGATTTTTATGGCCATATCGGTGCCCATCGACTTGCCACACCGCAACGTATTTATTTCATACAATTACGAATTTAATTACTACCAACCTGAACACGTCTACAAATATCCCCCTATTTTGGTGAGTCCCCGATGTCGTGGACCACAATTATGTCTTTTGATATGTGTCGAGCTTCTTTTAACATTCTCCTTTTATAGATGGGTGATTTCCAGGACAGTTATTTAACATACGATACAATCACGCCCCGAAATTGTGAAAATTGCAAACAGAGCGCGCGCCCTGTTGCAAATCAGAATAGTACAACGGAAGAGGCTCACAAATCAGGAAGGAACGAAACAAAGGAGGCGGCACGTGAGAAACGTGCGGTCTCCCTCATAAGTCGCACCTCCTTCTATGCCGTTTTAAAGGATAAACTCGAAAGGTTGGGTAACTAAAAATAAATTGTTTATTTTGAAATTCTTGACGTTGACTTTGGTGCACGAACTCGGCTTTGGGCGCTACACGCTTCTCGAAAACATAAATCGCATTTGAAATTCGCTTACCAATAAGATTCAGAATTTTATAAAAAGTGGCAGAATTTTATAAAGGGGTGTTTCTTTAATGTCACCGTAAAATGTGGCTTTCCCTTTCCGATCTATCCGATGGTTTTATATCGAGTACTAAATTATTTTATTATTAGATTTTTTTTTTTTAATTGTTAAAAAAATGGGAAAACGTTCGATTTTGGTATCTTAACATCAATTTAGCTGAAGGGGCTTAGCAAATGGAATCTTCATTAGTTAACATTGTAGTTATTTTTCTTCAATATATCGACAGCCCACCTTCGGTATACATAAATGATTGGAATTATAAAATAAATGATATAAATTATTATCTTTTGATTTGTTGTGTTGGGAACACATTTGATTTAAATTGTAACCCCCAGATCAGGGTACCCGGGTGAGGCATGTCTGCTGCGCACGATCTGTGAAACGAATGCATCGTTATTGGGAGACATAAATGGCTTTTTGGGTAATTTAGTCCACATCATATTTTCGTAAGTACTGTTATAAAGCTTCTAAAAAATTGCATAGAACATTTACTATTATTGGTTACAGGCCTAGCAGTTCGCGGGACGAGAATCTGCCGAATGAATACTACAATGCCGAGATAGATGGGAGGAACAATGAGTGTGAGTCGTATAAGAGAAACTGTACAGAGAACATTCTGGACTTCATATCAACGCCGCTGGAGCAAATTCTTAACGACATTTCGAGCCGAAGACTGTAAATAAATAAAGAGAAACTACTTGTACTCTTTCAATTTTGAATACCTTAAAAATTGTGTTTGTTCGCGCAATTAGCGGCTTTTTAATCTGTGGCAGTAATTGCAGGCGCTGTCGGTAGTTGGCGGGTTCAGTTCTCGTTGAGGCGCAGCAAGTGAAGAAACTAACTTGTGTAGTTGAAGTAGATATACATATAAATACCTAGCAAGTTCAGAAATGCATTCAAATTCACAAATAGCTTTCTATATTCTGTTACTTTTCGCTTTTGGCTTGGATTTATGCATTGGTTCGCTTTTTTACCCGGACAGCAGTGCTTATGGCGTGAGTCTCTGCTATAATTCCAATGATAATCTTTACATTAAAGTGATCATAATTGTAGATATTTGCAGCTATTGCTGTACCTTTGGAATTGTCGCCGCGTAACGTATTTGTGTCGTACAACTTTGAGGCAAATTACAATATGCCTGCGATTTGGGGCATACCACCAATATATGTAAGCCTGGTTTAGACATAAACGTTATGTATTTGTATTTGAGTTTGATCAACAAAAGGCTATAAAATGCCACATTTGGTTCAAATTATCACAAATTTTATAGCACAATTAACACGTTTGGGCTACGATCAACTGATTGTAAACATGGTCTGAACACAGAATGTAAAATAATTTCACAGCAACTGCCTTCTCTTCCCCTCTCACCACACTCAATAGCAAGGGGACAATGCAAATGAACACTTTGAGGCGGGCCGCAAAATAGTCTGCGATACGAACTGCTCATTGGATGAGAAAGTATCCCTGGATCGCAAAGAGATGATTCCGAAACGCAGAAGTCGATCACTGATCACACGTACGAACGTTTATCAAATAATAAACGATAAATTAAAAAGGTATGAGGGAAAGGGAAACACTTTACTTTCAATTCAATGCTGTTGCTGTTCATAGAAGTGGTTTTCATGGGGAGTCGTGCTTGCTGCGCTTGATCTGCGAGACTAGTGCCACGGAGATTGGCGAGATCAATGGCGTTCTGGGCAGTCTGATACATGTCATTTTCAGGTGAGTGTGTGTGTACGGAGCTATAAAAGAGGGAGATCGTAAAATGATGAAATGACATTTGAACCAATAGTCCCAGCACATCGGAGGCAGAAGAACTGCCCCTGCGATACTACCAGGCCGAGCACGATGGCTGGCACGACCAGTGCCATCACTACGAAGCAGCATGTAAAGAGAACTTTTTGGACTTGATCTCACAGCCATTTGGTGAAATTGTTAACCTAATCGAAAGTAATGACATACTATAACATGTGATATACGAGTATTGTAGAAAGAAATAACTTTATTGAAAAGTAGAGAAATTTTGTTGTTGTTCTTGTTTTTATTCTGCTGCAATATGAACTGAATTGTGGGCCACAAAGTTCCAATTGACGTGGTTAGTTTTTCATTAGCAACTTTCACTGTCGAAAACAAAAAACAATGAGAGTCGGTGCAAGCTACTGGACTGCTCGGGTTTCTCTTCCATAATTGGATTATCACTTTGCTGTCGTAGGTTCTATGCATAAAGCCTAAACAAATTCGCTTCCCAAATGCTGGAGCCACATTGGAGTTTTCAGTTGTGTTTAGTCGTTCCAAGCAAGTGTTAACATCCAAAGTATATAGATGAGATGTATCCATTGAATATACTCGTGGCTACAGCCACTCTCTATTCAATTACGACGCGAGCGGCCTTTGTTTTTGCACCGGATGATGCTGCGGTTCGTTTCATTGCACACACTTTTGGAGAATTATATATGAAATTTGATCAATTTTCAGCTATTTATAGCCATTGCGGTGCCTATAGACTTGCCCAGATATAAAGTGTTCCTATCGTACAACTTCGAAGCGCACTATCCTGTGCACGATACTTGGCGACTACTAAGACATTCCGGTCATTTGGTACGTATGCCATACAAATTAGATATATGAACTTATAATTATATTTTCAATACTACAGAATGGTACTCATGGTGGCTTGGCAAATAACACCAACTTTGATTTTGATGACAACTATGACTATTATGGCGATGTTGAAGGTCCCGATGGACCCCACAAAAAAAAGCATAAAAGTAAAAATAATACCAAAAGTAAAAATAAAAACAAACACAAAAATAACAAAACGCATAAACCAATTGCTGCTCCGGCACAAAAGCCTAAACCACCCAAATTGAAAACTCATCGAAACAAAGTTAAGCCCAGTCCGAAGCCTGAGAACGCAACGGTGTTCGATGATCAGAGACCACCTCCAAAGCCTAAGGAGGAGGAGTATAAGGATTTCTTTGAGGACTTCCCAATGGATGGTGGCCGAGAAGCAGCGGAGGCAAAAAACCGCATTTCACGTTCACTTTTATCGCGAACCACCTTCTATGAGATACTTAAACGCCGATTCGAACAGTAAGGGAAATGCCATTTGTAGCTAAGGTAGACAAATAATTTGCATGCAATTGCGGAAAATGTATAACGGAAACAGAAAGCAACAACGAAAGAGGGGTTTTTAAAAGAGATCCCTCTCATTATGTGTATAATGTGTCGTGTAGCGTGCAACATTTGCGTGCAAACTATTTGCTTGTCTGACCGCAGCTTAAGTTACTTGCATTATCTTCATCATCTCTGTTACAGACATGGATTTGGTTCTGGCGATGAATGTCTGCTGCGTCTGATTTGTGAGGTAAACAACAGCCTGGTCGGCGAGGTGAACGGATTGCTTGGCAATTTAGTGCATGTTATGTTCAGTCCCAGTAGCTCCATGTTCGAGGCACTACCGGAGCGCTACTATGAAGCCGAGTTGCATGGCACACGCGACTATTGCGAGCCCTATCAAAGGCAATGTAAGCGCAGCATTCTCGGTGAGATCACGCAACCACTGACCGACTTCATTGCTCAGATGGACACCAATAAAATATGATATGATTGAGAAACTTTATGATGATGTATTTATTCTAAGTGCTTTTCATAAACATTTTAAGTGCCGGCCATGGGCAATTACGCACATAGGAGCGTGCCGAAGGGCATTGCTTGAGGCTACCGTTCCAGGCGCTCGACGGGCAGTGGCGGAGAAGGCGGGAGTAGGCGCACAGGCTATAGAAAAGGGCGTGCCTGTCGCAGGCGTCACTCTGCTTGCTCACCCCCGTCATTTCCTTGAAGTTATTCTTCACCAGATTGGCGCAGGATGCGAAATTCGACATGTAAGCATCGATGGTTGAAGCCTCATTGAATGCACGCTCTAGCATGGGTCGCACATGGGTCATGTTCAGCCGATTACCGTCCAGTACCTTAGCAGCATTGAAAATGCATTGCAAGCGACACTGAAAAGTATCCACATGTTCGAAATTAGAGCAGTCCTTTTGGGTTGCCTAAAGAAGTCACATTATTTCCAGTCTTAACACAATAACGGTATTTAAACGTACCATTAAAAATAAATAAATTCGGCATTATTTCAACTAACGAATTATTACTGTTTGGAGAGAAGTGGGGAAATGCTGTTGTTGTCAAATAAATAACTACAATAAATACAAAAAATCCCTATTCCTAATCATATAAGGGCGCTAAATTTTGTAACATACACGTTTTATAGATGACAATGATTGAAAATGCATTTCTCAATATCAACTTACACTCGGTTGTGGGCCCGACGAGCTGCATTCACTATTATAGGCTCCCCAATTGGGCATGGGGGCGTGACAACACTGTTGAATGTTCTACAAAATTAAGCAAATAATTATTATTGCTATCGATTTCGCAAACCAATATTGACTCACCTGCACAGATTTTGGAGCTGCCTTGCATTTAGCAGCAATTGCAGGTCTGCAAACGAGGGCCAGAACCAGCAACAACTTCAGCATGATGGAATGATGAAATGAGTGCCAGTTGAGTCAGCGATCAGGTGGAGGGATTGAGTTATTGCTAAAATACCACATGAGCCTCTCGTGCATGTTTTTGATGACGTGATAAGCCAATTACAACATTACCAGCTTGTTGTTGGCACAGATTTTATATTAGAAATAAAAAAAAATAATAATAAATAATCCCGTAAAAGCAAGCTTTAAATGGGAATCACAATTAAAAATCGGGGAATTTTGGTCTCATTAACAAAGTTGTGTTTCAAATTACACAACAGGTCAAATGTTTCATAATATTATTACTTGTATTACAACATAACTGTAAGGTATAGGGTACTATTTAGAAATTGAAACTTACAAAAGTATTTATTATTGGGATTTAAAATCCAAATTACACATGGCACTTTAATAAGTTGGCAGAAAGGCCAGTGGAAGAATTAGCCAGAATTTCTATCTACGTCGGCACATTTTAAGTCAAGACAAATTTATTGCAGGAATACTATTATTATATGTTCACAAAAAAGCAGCAAAGTTTCTATAAAAACTGCTGGTGCTTTTAAATTATTTTAGGGAACTGAGCTTTTAGATTTTTAATTAAAAATTGTTTTTCCAATCATTTATTTGCTATTTTTTCTACAAAAAGTTTGCGCAAATATGTGAGAGACTATTTGAAACTTATAATTTGTTAAAACACTACATTGTGCGATTATTCATTATATTTGTCAATTAACTTAATTCATTTTATTTTTATTGTTTGGCCGGCTCGAGGTCAGAGTAAGAAAAACCAATTTATTTAATTTTCTTTTCTTTTTCCGATATATTTCGGTTACGCCACGGTAACCGTCTTCAGGGCAATTATTTAAGCAAGTCTGCTCTGTTTGACTTGGAGTTACTAACTGAAAAAGAAAAGAAAATTAAATAAATTGGTTTTTCTTACTCTGACCTCGAGCCGGCCAAACAATAAAAATAACTATGAGGAAGGTCACCAAAATACTCAACATTAATTCATTTTATATGCATTAATAATATTTAAATACCAGCAATAAATCTAGAGTCCATCGCTTATAAAAACTGTACGCAGATCGCAATTGTTCTGACTGTGTCTTTTGAAGTTGGCCAAAATGCGTAAAGTGCTAGTATGGTGTGGCTTCTATTCTCTCTTCATAGCTCTATGTGGAGCAAATCTGGGTAATGTGGACTGCAATGTGTTGCTTCCACAGGATGTTAGTAAGATAAAATAGCATTTGGTGATGGATTCTCTTCAAGACCTTTTTCGCAGATCCATCTGGATTGTTGTCCTCCGCATTCGTACAACATGAACGCGTATGCAAAGGAGTGTGGCCGATTTAATATTTTGCATTCAAGCATGGATTCGGTTCGTAATTGAATTTACCTCAGTATAGAGAATGAGCAATTCAGTGTGCTCTCAATTGCAGTGCGGCAATGACTGTGTTCTCAATGTAACTCGGATCATAAAAGGCAATTCCTTGGATTTGAAGAACCTACAGAAAATGGTCAAGGCAATCATCCCTCTAGATGAAGTCTATGCTGAAATTTTGATAGACGCGTACAAATTATGTGGCATGAGTTTGCCAAATATGCGATTGATGAGCAATGATGCAAATTCTTTTAGCGGGGAACCCAAACAGGATGCTAACCAAAATGTTGTAACTAGAAATGGTATTGAAAATGAGAAAGATGATGAGGAAGACGTAGAGCCAGTGGGTTGCTCCACGCTGTCGATGATGTTGAACTCTTGTGCCATCCAGATGACGCTTTTGACTTGTCCACCAGAGCGTTGGAATGCAACAGCGAGCTGTGAATTTGCCCGCCGTTATCGCTGGAAATGCGCAAGTCGGACATTTTAAATAACACTTTTTTATTATTATTAATAAAATTAACAATGTATCCACAAAGAGAATGAGTCCAATGTCCTATCTACAATAGGCTTGTAATTTAGAAAAGAATGGTTGGGTTCATAAACCTTTAACAAATATAAAATATCTATTTGTGCCTCTTATTTAATAGTGTCGGTATTTTGGTTTTTCTTTGTTCGTGATATTAATTACAAACAAAGGCAAACTGTAAGCTAAGAGATTGATTAAAATGTCAATGTTTTGATTAGAATGACAGTAGAATAATAATAAGCACATTTATTCATTGTTTTTCGAAAACAATTCAATTCAAGTTTCAAAATTCAAAAGTATGGCCCTTAATTTAAGCTGATATGTATACGTATGTTTGCGAATTATCAGCCATTTTATGGCTAGTTTGTTTCTTGGTGCCAATATTGTTGGTGCCTGGACAAGCAATGAGTTGCTCACAAGTATTGGACACCAAGGTGAGCATTCTCTTAGAAATATATGTAAGTGTGTAACTCAACTAAGATTGCGCCCGCAGAGCTTGGACTTATGTTGCGGTCATCAAGAGGAATTAAGCGAAAATGTGTTTCGTAAAAAAGGTTCCGATTGCAGTGAGTATAAGGAGAATTATGGCCCGGTAAGTCTACGCTAACAAAGCATGTCTCAGAGACAAAAGTTATGATACTTGTTCCATTATAGTGTCGCTACGAATGTCTGTTCAGGGAGTGGAATCTCTTCGATGAAAAAGATCACTTGAGTCAGTTGCATTTACGCAAAATGATAGTCGATGTTTATAAGGATGACTATCAATATGGTATGCTTCTCAGGCGCTCCTACGAACGCTGCGAGGGGCTGGTGGCCAATTATGCAGAATTTCTTCGCATGTATGAGGCGCAGAGCCATAATGAAGGAAACTGTTCGTCACAAGCAATGTTCATTGCAAAATGTGCGTCAGCCAATATCTTTGTCCACTGTCCAGAGCAATACTGGCATGATTCTGACGAATGCAACACTATGAGACCAACACTTATTACCTGCATTAGTTTACTCAATGACTTGGAAAACATGGGTGCTGATGGAAATCCGGATACCCGTAGTGCGGCAATACGTCAAACAAGACAAGCCCGAGATGCATCCACTCATTGGTACACTGCGTTTCTGAATTGGTTGGTTTTTTAGTCGCGTTTCAATTTTTATGTGTATCCCCCGAACATTTTATAAGTAAATTTTTCATTTGAGCTGGCGGTCTTATTCTCACATCGCAACTTTACATTTTACAACTTATCACATGTCTGCAATTACTTGTCGCTTGAATTTTAGGCACAGGTATTTACAAGAATTCTTTTCAGGACTACTTGTATATACAAGTATATCCATTCTACATTGTGTTGCATAAATAATCAGAAATACCACAAAATTTAAGAAACTTCGTCTTAAAAGAGTTACATTAAAGTTTCAATATACCATTGTTTCAAGATTTTGGAGACTGGAAGGAGTTTGTTGTATATCCTAAAACCCATTGTAAATGGTTCAATACATTTTCATATGCATATTGATGCAATTTTTTTTATTTTTATGTAATCTAACTCGATATACTCTCACTGATTAAGCACCAATTGGTAATTCACAACGAATGTAAGAACAAACATACTCTGCTGGCAAAATGGTCCCACATTTGTAAGCGAACCGTTTTTATTTTAATAAATTGCGATTTAGGATATGTTAAATAATAAAAGTAATAATATAATTTTATTCAAAATTTCTTACTATAAAAATGTTATATACTTTTTCTTCATTTATATCACATTGAAAACTTTGATTTTGTTGTGCCAAAATTTAAATATACAGTTTTATCTAAAAAGTTAAAAAGTTGTTCGACAAGGGCTCATCCACAAATCTTATGTTTAACTATAACTTAATTAGAATTTGTAGGTTCCTAATTCATTTTTGCAAAATGCATATAAATAAACCCACGCCACGATTTGTTTCGTCACTTGATAAATTATAATAATTGAAATACAAATGCCACAATCTGAATTACACAAATGGACAAACCATTAGTGGAGCCCGTAACTCTTTATTAGTAACATTTTATAAATATTTAAATGTGTTGCGCCCCATTACCGACCCATATTTTGTTAACAACACACTCCTAGACCCTCATACATATAGTTGTATATAAAGCCATGTCTGGAACCAAGCCAACTGGATTTCTCATAATGCCACACTCTCGTGCTCTTCTTGTATGTGCCTCTCTGATGCTTATCACAGGTTGCCAAGCAGCTGTGGACTGTAGCAAGAGAATTGATATGAAGGTGGGTAAATATTGTATTTCGTATTTGAAAAAACTAACCCTGAGATGTGTCCTCTTTTTAACAGTCCATCAAGAGCTGTTGTGCAACGCCGGCGATCACATTTGATGCTTTCAAGGATCAGTGTAGTAACTACATGAATAAGGGGCCGCAAACAACACTTGTAAGTAGTTGGCATTCAATGGCAGACATTTATTATATCAAATATCAATAGTGCCTTTACGAGTGTATCTTTAATGCGACAAACACGCTAAGTGGAACGAGCCTTAACATAAATAATGCTCGCACGATGCTTTCGAAAATTTTTGGCGACAACCAGGACTTCGTCAACGCTTATGCTCAAGGAATGCAAAACTGCACCAGCTCGGTGCAAGAGATGGCCAGCGCTGCTAAGCAGCGTCCACCTCCACCAACCATGATGTTGGGCGGACAGAATTGCTCGCCTGTGCCTCTAATGTATAGTATGTGTACACATAGGTATGTCTTCTCGCACTGCCCTTCAGCAAGCTGGACCAACAGCAATGACTGCAACGAGGCGAAGGAGTATGTGCAGAATTGCAAGAATCAAAACAAAGGTGCTGGTGGCCTCTTAGGCCCGAGGAAAATTCGAGGATAACTACTTGTATTTGGTGGAAGCATAGACTTCCAAAAATACACTATGTTATGCTGTTTCCTTTGAAGAAATATATTTTCAACCTTAAAGCATTTGGAATAGCCATTTTTATTTCATTACTGAGCTGATTAGGCAGTGGAAGAAACGGGAATACTAGCGATGACTGATGGTACATTGAAAACGGGCGCAAAAGTTGTATGCGAGTTTATTGTTAAGGGCGAATAGTAGTTAGTTGGTAATGTTTATTTCTCAGCCAGATGATATTTAAATTAAATCTGAGCTGTCTAGAATTGGGGGTGTGCAACTTTGTGAGTTAATCTTGAAAGATGTTGCCCAAACCGTTGATTACTGCCCATAAGAAATTGCTGCATGCAACCATCAGTCGATCTGGATTCGGATGCCTTTACTGGAGACATCCTTATATATTTGTTATAAATTTGAATAGATCATTTTTCTATTTGTCTGTATTTTTATAATAACAGATTGGACAAAAGACTGAATATTTAGAGATACCAAATATAATAAAATGGATAAATATTTTCAGCTGCAGCGACCGATTCATTGAAAGAGTTCAGCTAGAAGCCAATAACTTGTGGCCAGCCGGGCTTCTCTGCTTCATAACTGAGCTCATCATCTTCATAGCATTGTTGCCTTTCATCACCGCTCCAATTTGCGCCGTATTCATTCAAATCTTCCTCCGCTAAAAAGGAGAAAGTGATATATATGCTATATTCATAAATGTTCATGATTCTCACATAAGTGCGATAGCTCGAGCCCCAGCTTCCGTACATGTTGCATTAGTGCTTGAACCAGCAAATTAGTATTTACGACGCCATCCTGCTCAACATCGTGAAAGGATACATGAAGTTCAGCCGAACTGTCGCCATCGGGATGGTCGATGTAGGCCGGACAGAGCTCGTCAGGTGCATTAAAAGTGTTTGGTACATTATCAATATTCTACAATGAGCCATCAAGAGAAAATCAATTTAAAATCTGTTTGTTTGGCTTGAGATTTTGATACCTCTTGCTCGCCATCCACGACAAAGTCCTTAAATGCCGCGTCTACGCTTTGCCACAAAATAAAAGCACAAATAAAAACCGCCCCGCGTCCCATAGTTATCGACATCAACTACTGGTTTAAACTTTGTGTTTTAGCCCCCGGCTAGTAGAACCTTGAATGTTGATGGGCCCCATTAACGCAATGCCGCTCATTGTCATTTGTTACAGCTCATTAAACTGAAGAGTATAATACCGTAAAAATAGTTAGGCAATTAGTAATCAAAATAATAGGTGTCATTGAGGAAGCAGAATTTGTTTACGATATAAACATTTATTTATTCGAAACAAAGTGCAAAACACATTTACTAAACTATACTTAGAGAAACTTATTGTTAGATGATATCAATAGAATCAGGAAGATCAGTTCATGGGCAGCGGCACGTGCGGTAGGGGATTGCACTGCTCCGCAAATTGTTTGGCTATGAGGCAGTTGCGATCGCTCTTCCACATTTTGGCGGGACAATGGAGGAAGGTCTCCGCATTGACGCAGCTGTAGATCATGCTGGCGAAAGGAGAACAGCCATGGGGCAGCACATTGTACGCCTCAATGTTTGCCTTTTTCATGTGGCCCTTAACTGTTGTTAAAGGTCGAGTGTAGAGCTACCGATTATTTAAATAAGTTCAGTACTATACTTACTGTTCGCTAGACACTTCTCAAACGAGCGTTCTATTTCCGGCAATATGTCCCGATCCTTGCGATGCACATGCGTCATTAGGAATCGCTTCACCTGCACCATGTTAAGCTGTCCGTTTACCAATGCGCCCGTCTCCCGATAAATGCACTCCGGATAACACTGAGGGTTGATAAATTGAATAATTAAATCCGTAATGTGCGATATTTCTGCTACTTACTATGTGCGCGTACGCCGGATAGTTCTCATTGGCAGACTTCAACTGTTTAATATATTGCTGACATCTCTGGGGCACGTCATTTAAATTGATTTCAGGCGTCCGACAGCACGAATTGACGTCCTGCATATGGTAGGATAATAAATAATTCAGTCCTGTTACTGATTGTGGCCGACAGGCGGTAGTACTATACTTACAAAATTGTTAAAGTTTGGCGGCTCCGAACAATTGAAGGCCTCAGCCGCAATACTTCCTTGCAGTGGCATCATCATCATCATCAGAATCCGCAACAGCGCCAGCTGGAGCGCGTGAATAAATGAAAGCATTGGGAAAGAAATTAAATATTTAAATACCCACCATTAAGCATGCATGCAGCGAGATGCATTCAAACCGAAATCTGCCCATTTTTCACACGATATTTAAAAACGCCGAGTGGTCTCTGCTGCTGTTGGTCGAATAAAACTTGCACGCATTAAACGAGATGCTTTATATAGAGAACGCCATAATGTATGTTCAAGCCAAACTCTGGCTTAATAAATCAGTTCAAGGTAATAACAAAAGCTTGGTTGTTGATTTGGGGCTACTGATGAGTCCATTCGATGAGGCAGTGAAGTGGGGCAGCTGGCGAAAGTGGGTGGGTTGGTGTTTCGAATCACTGATGCTTGGCATGAATGCGTAATGAGCACTACTATAGTTCATAGATTTTGGGGAAATACCAGAACTCGTTAATTTGTTTGTGTCAGGTCTGATGACCCTTTGCAACAGCCATGAGTCAGTTGGATAGCATGGTGTGCTGTGATCTGAACCGGAAAATGAGTCTGTAAGCAATTGCTAATAATTCACGAACAATTTCCAAAGCTAGCAAGTGTTTAGATCAAGGCCCATTCATAAAAAGCCATTAGGTTGAACATAAATAATACGAGAGGGGGTGGTCAGAATTATTAGAAGCCATTTAAGTAGTGGCTTTATGTTTTTTTCTACTAATTATGCATAAATTATTTGAAAAGAATTTGGTTAAGTAGCGCATTTACAGAGATTTCAACGATTTTGATTTTTTTCACTTCCTTTAATTACTTAATCTGTTTTTCAAGCCAATTAGGGTCAGTGAAATAACTGCTCATTGAATGTATAAAACTTTCTTGACCACCTTTTTGGTTACAGACTATCTTTGTTTAACTTACACCTATGCGCGGTCAAAGATTCTCTCGTGGATGACTGTACAGAGAGGCCCGTTTTCGTGTGGAGCCTATTTTTTATTTCATCCTTGAGTTGTGTATGGTAGTTATTGAGACCGTAAAATGAGAATTCGAGTAAGTATAAGTAGGACCTTTAAGTGTTAAGGCATGGGAAATCCTTCTCTGTTGGGATTTAATATTATGTCTCAAAGAATATTTATTGTTTCTATTCTCTGCCAGTTTCTTCTTGCTGCGACATTCTGTTGCATGGCATATGCAACTTGCTGCATTGATTTGTCGAAAGCAACAGTGTTTGGTTACGAGCTAATTAGTAAAGCGTGTAATTAATGGCAGTCCACGCTGAAAAGTGTTTTAGGGACTTGACACTGCTTTGTGAATGCTGTAGGTGTATACTTGTATGTATGTGTGTGGTTGTGGGTGTGTGAGGCTGCCACACGAGACAAATAAGAGCCCAGACATAGGTAGACGCGCTCTCGACTTGAATGTGTTATGACATTGTGACCTAATGTGCAGACTTTGTTGCTGTTGTGGTTTGACACTCTTCTTGGGACTTATGCCAGCCTTTGTGTGTCATATGCTTGTCTGTTTTCATCGTAAATGTGTGTGTGTGTGTATAAGTATGTAAGTACTAGTATGTAACACCTAATCCAGTTTACGACAGGTCCCGCTTTGTCTGCTACATTGGGGTGCGCTTGATTCAACATTATCAGTAGCCAGACGTGCGTGCGGACTTAATGTGAAAATTTTGGCAAGAATACCCCATTGTCGTTTACGATTTAAGCTATAAAGTTGTATCTTTGAGTTCATTAAGGGAATTTATATGCAACTGCCATGAGCATTAAGCATTTAAAAAGTAATGTGTAGTGAGTGTTTGTCAACACTTGGTTGGCTGAGGCGAAGAAAAGCTCAAACAGCCTTGGCTTGTCTATTCAATGAAAATAAAGACTTTCCTTTCTGTGCAAATTGAAAAACTTCGAGCTGCTTCTCTTAGCATCGATATCAATTGTTTGCATATGTCGATGGGTTGGAGCGTCCTTGAAAGTTATAAGCATCAGATAAAATATAGTATGTTCAAAGCGTTGCAGATAATTCCTTTTAAATGTGTAGGCAAGAAGCTCTTTTCCATTTGTTACAGCAGAGTAATTTTTGCATTTTTCACCCTTATACCGAAACGGCTGGAAACAAGTTTTCGCTTTTGGCATTGAAAGCGTTTGTTAAATTAGAATTCACCAACATTTGAGTGGCAGTTGACACAAGCCAGCATTGGTTTTGCCGCATTTACAAAAATCCCAAGCCCACCAGCCTTTCGTTTAGCAATTCGAGAAAAAAGACAACCAACTTTTTGTGATATATCCGTCACAAGCACACACTTGTTGGGCACCCCATGACGATGTGGTAACACACACACACGCACGCATCCCCACACACACACACAGATACAGACCCACTCACAGGCACACCCAGAGAGGTGAAAACTGACAAGTATCAGATGTTTAAATTTGATTATTGTTTTAAGCATTTTCAACAACAAAAATCTACATAAAATTCAACAGCTCGTTCTCGCTTTTTATACGTATGCAGATTCAAGAGGCCGCACATTTGTTGAAGGCCAAGGGCTCGATTGCTTATTTTTCTTTTTATACCCTGCATCCAAATAATTTGCATGTATGAACATATCCATAGCAATTAGGGATAACAAACTTGGCAGATAGGCTTGTTTCATCCATACACAAACCAATTCTCTATTATAATATAGCCTCATTATATTATAATCGTTGGAAAATGTATCCTATTTATACGTAGCGCAGAGTATATAAATGTCGCGCGACTTTAACATTCACATTTGGTATTTGTTATAAAATTGCGTGCACACTCTTCGGTCTGGGCACCTGCTGTGATGTCGCAGCCAAATATTGACATTTTAATAAATGTCTAATGTCTGCGTTTAAGTGTGTGTCGGTGTCAGTGTATATGTGTGTGTGTGCGAGCACTTGGAAAAACAAGCACCACTTCGGATTAATTTGATTAGCCTTCATTTTGAAAAGCAAGTCGTGTGTGGGTGACACGAGCAACAAGCGGGTTCGATATAAAACAATTAACCATAACAGCAAGTTCAAAGTCAGCTTCAACTCTCACTCCTTCCTGCCAAAAGACCACGGCCTGGGGCACGGGTGCGTGCACAACAAACGGGCTAACAAACGAATGTAAAAGGGATGACAAACTTGTGATAAGGAAATGCAAAAATTCCGGCACCCTTGCATATCCCAGCATAAAGTAAGTATGTATGTATGTACATGTCGTACGTACGAGTATGTACATACATGTACATGCATAAGGCCTAAGCAAATAGCATGTCTTCAGAAGGAAATACCGGAAAATGGCAGGCAGTCATAAGGCAGCCGGTACGCAACAAACTGCTCGACAAATATTGAGCTACCAAATATTTGCATAAATCAAATAGGCAGATTTTAAAGAGCTTACAGCAGCCCAGCCACCAGAAAACAGAATAACGACTCAGAGGGAGATTTAAAAAAATGTAGGAAAAAGTAGGAAAATCAGAGCTTGTGGCAGAAAAATGTTCAAAGGCCACGCTTGCTACACACCTGTTGCAGGCTTGTATGAAGCAACAGTGTCCGACGCCCTTGTAGAACGCAACTGTGTAGCTTTCGTCCTCATTGCGAAAGCTTCGGGCTCGACTGGCGCTCGGGTCCTCTTGTGGATCCTAAATTTTCGCGCCATTTCAATTTAGCAGGTCGTGTCAGCCACGAAGGCAAAGTGGTAAGAATTTTGCGAACACAGCTTGTTAAGATGCTGAAATGTTTACAAGCGAGTCCTCGCTCAGTTGTCAACGGTATGTGAGCGGATGCGGTTCGAATAGCAGCGAACATAATCGGGCAATCGAGAGTCGTTCAATCAAATCGTCAAACTAAAAAACAAAAAGTTTATAATACACTAATATCCCAAAAAATCGTAATAAATAAAAATTACATTTTTTTGTATTATACACAATCAAGTTAATTGCTCATATCAACTTCAAGTGGAGTGTAAGTGAATTATTTGGTGGACGAGTGGGGCCCACTGTGGTGTGCACACTCATGGTTTGTTGGCTTCGTATTTTCTTATCTAAGCTGCAGCCATTAGGTCTGCATTACTGTGACTAAAAGCCAATTTAGTGCTAAGCCGCAGGCGCTCCCTCTTTGCCACAAAATACGGAAAGGAATTGCGCTGCGGAATGTAATTGTGATAAAAGCCAACAAAAACAAATGCAATCAGCAACCGTGTGTGGGTAGACGGTGTGTGTGTGTATGTGTGTCTCAATAACCAAAGCAACGCATAAGCATAATCGCTTTGAAACGTCTAAGTACCAGGCGTTAAACACATTTAAGCTATCCGGAAAACTGGTATTTCTCGGGACAATGGCTTTGGCAGCATGTAAGCTATTTTCCCTGATAATCATCCTCTAAGCAATAATGCCAGAGGAAACCACATAACTATTCCCACACATGCAGTCCTACTCTTTATGTGCTATTTATGGGATTGTAACCGCCTGCGGCCGGGCAACGCAAAAGGAAAATAGAAACTAGTTTGCGGTTAATTAAAACGGCATGAAAATGGAATACTGAGAAACAATGCAATGCATTACAATGCTCTGAATATTAAAAGAAGGGGATTGGATTTTTGTTTTGCCTGTTGAACTTTTTAAATATCGATTGTGTGTGCCTACGTACGTGTATGCCTCTGCCCGTATCTAGTATGCACGCGTATGTAAAGCTCAATTATTTTCAATTGAATGCCATATTTGAAATGAAACAACAACAATAAAAATCAATTCATTTCAAAGATTGGATTCTAAAAGTGATACACTTTTACCTGATGGTGTTGGTAGCTCGAACTGTCTAATTTAAAACTTCTTCTTCCTATGTTAGTTATTTCATTCCACAATATATGTCGATGAAATTTATATTAAATATTATGCTTCCAAATAGAAGCGCACAGATAACAGTTGCGCAATTTTATGAGAATTCACTTAACAATTTGTGGCGTGAGAATCAATAAATTTAAAATAGTGAATAGCAAAA